GCCTTCAATTTTCCTTTTTGAAGAAGAAGCAGTTAAAATTTTTTCCTGAGCAAGACTCAAGGAAAGCCTAGTTGATAGAACAGACGTGGGACTAATGCCATGAATAGGAAACCCTAATAAAAAAAAGGGAAGGATGAGAAATTCTTGAATAAACAAGGGAGAGAAAAGAAAAGACAATGAAGGTAAAAATTACCGTGCATCTTCACTTTCCTACCTAATTTTCGAGAAAGGTATTTCCCGGACCTTTTCTCCATAGGTGCAATTGATAACATTTTTTCTACCCAAGCACGGAAGTTCAGAATTTCATCAAAAACTTCCATGGTTGCTGAAAAATTGGGTATCTGATTATAATGAAGTCTTTCGAGATATTATAAAAGAAAAAAAAGAAGAAAGCTTACGTGCAAAGTTTCATTTCTCCGGGAAAGGCATGTTTCTTTTCCCACTAATCCACTAGTAGGAGAAGCAACAAAGCGAGCATACCAGCCACGGTCCCGATCGTCTTCAGGGCTAACCAAAACTCTCTTACTTCTAGCCACGAGAGTAAAGACACCTTCATGAAACAGTTTGGGGGAGTAAAGGTGAAGCAGATGCCGAAAAGTAAAAGGCATGAAAACCAGTTCTGCTAATTAACGAAGGCATGCAACAACCCTCCATACTATGGGGCCAGTTTGGCCAAGACACACGTTGAAATAACGGTAGAATTCAAGGATTACTCGATCAATAGGAGGTTTGAACCATAAAGTGAAGGGATAGGTATAGACAAAAGAAAAACCAGCATGATAGGAAGTAATTCTCTGGTTGGCAGCAGGAACTAAAACTGGGAAATCTTGTTTCCAGTGACATTCTCTTCGAACCAGGGAAAGAAGACCAGTAGTGATCAAACTCGGGTAAAGGTCAGCCGAATTGAGGGAGGCCATGGAAGAAACTTGGTTCCTTATGGTTTCACGATCAGTTACAAAAGAAAATTCTTGAGGAACAATCTCTGCAACTGTGGGTTCACGCATAAGATCAGCTAAATCTCTATTCCTAGAAGATGATCTAAGGGGTTAAAGGAGCTCTAGACCTAGAAGAAAATGGTTTAGTAGCACTACTCTGAGAAGAAGAATCACGGTTAGATAACCAAGACTACGAAGCCTACCACCCCTCCTACTTCTAGTGGGAGCATTAGAAGGAACAAACTCGTCAACAATCGCAACCTTGCGAGGGTCTAGGGAGTTGTCCAAAGAAATACAGAAGAAAGATGCAGAAAAATTCAAAGCAAGAATAAGATGATGGATACTGAAGAAGGAAGAATCTAAGAAATCAAAAAAGAATGAAGTATTTATAAGGAGACACGACCATTGTTAAAGTTGGTTATTATGAAGCATCATAATGGAACCATCACTTCGTGACTAATGCGGCCGCAGAAAAACCCTAAAAAGCGCTGAAAAATTGCAGAGTCAATCGTTAGAAGCCACGTAGCATGGGCATTAAATGGATGTGATGTACGTCGCATCGATTCTGAAGGAGACATGATAACATTCGAAAAACGGCGGTAGAGAATTCCCACCATAAAAGCTTTCGACTTCCCGAATATTCAGTCGAGAATATTCAGAAAGTGGGGAGGGGGACTATCTGTATTGGTGGAAAATGGTATTACACGTGGAACGTTAGTATGCTGATGAAGCGCGACGTGCGGAACAGTGATATAACGACAACTAGCGTTCTCAATTAATAGGATTAATTGAGCGAGGAAGGCACAGGAGAAACACCCGCGAGACAATACATATAAGAGAACCGGGCCTGACAGTTGTCAAAGGAGAGGCGAGGACGGAATGAATAAGGATCAAAAAGAAGGGAAGATACAAGAACCCGAATTTATAACTGCATATTTATTGCTATAAATGCAGTTACGGCAATCTGTGAAAATGAGCAACCGATACATTTAATGCACATAATAAACCCAAATTATATGAGAAAATCGTTATGATTGTACACTCCTATATAAGGATACAAAATTTTATTTGTAAGGACAGATCCCAAGTACTATTGAAATAAATTTTATACTTCTTTGCTTTATCGAAGTTTCAACCTTGATTTTAGGAATTGACTATCATTTCATTCCTTATTTCTCTTAGTCAACTTTTTCTATTGTTTTTATTATTTTTTTGTAAATATTACTGTGAAAGTGAAGTAAAACTTGGTAATCAGTAACCCGTTTTCTTCTAAATATAGACTTTGACTGAGAAATACACCATACTTGGTTAAATAAATTTTCTTATTGTTTGACCTAAAAAAAAAGTTTGCTCTCGTCTTCTGCATGTTGTCTTGCCAATTTTGTTCTATTCCTCTAGATTGTTTTTACCATGTCTTGATTTTTCCACTAATAAACTGATTACCATATGAATAGCATTGTTAGAAATTGATATAAGAGATTCAATAGGTTTTCTATGTCAAAATACTTTTTAATTCTTATAAAGATGCGGAATATCAACGATTAAACAGATAGCTTGTACCTTAATAGCTTTGTTCGTTTTTCATCTTCTCTAATTTTCTTTAAAAATCAATTCAGATTATCATTAGTTTTAGAAACTATCAACATTGTCACGCACGTTTGTTCCTGAGTCACAATGGAGCAAAAAGAATTATGGAGAAAAAAAGAAAATCAATCTTGTGCAATTTTAAATTTGAGTATTCTTAATTAAAGCAAAGAATACTTTTTTTTTATTTGGCAATAACTCAGATATTAATTAATCAATGTACTTTATTTTCTTGTTCCTCGATCACCACGCCAACACAAAAGAAACAGATACAAAGAGAAGAAAGAAAAGTTGTAAAAAGCTGAAATTCGTTTCAAGGTGTTAAATGATGGCATGTCCTAAATCTCAGAGTCTTGACTTAATTGCAAATGTCAGCTCAGGGAAAAGACAGTTAGCAAGATTCACAACTCACGTGTATCGATTAACTAAATTGAATGTCGTTTAATCGTTTGTCTAAATTAAGAATGGAATAACTAATAAGCCACGGTGTTCAGTGTTTGTTGATCGTGAAATTTTGTCAAATATTTATTTATTATTTATTGATTAAACCAGAAAATTAACTTTTTAAATTATTTAATTTTGACTCATAGAGGCTAATTTGAGCTACATAGTGGATGGATATTTGCTGCAACTCTATCCGATTCTCAACGGAAGGAAAACAAGGGAGAAATTTAAAATTAGCCAAATTTACAAGTGATCATTCAAAAATAGCTACAGTTTCAAAAGTAATCGAAATTTAGTCACTTTTTATGTAAAGATAAATTTGAACGAAAACACTGTTCAAAACTGGAAAATACTCTAGCATAATATACTGGAGTTCCAACATAAGTATACTCGAACTCCAGTATATTATAATGGAGTTCCAGCATAAGTATACTGGAACTCCAGCATAATATACTGGAGTTCCAGTATAATATATCGGTCCAGTCTAATATGCTGGAAGTTCATACACAGGTGCTCCAATCTCCAGTATATTATGCTGGAGTTCCAGCATAATATGCTGGAAATTCATACACAGGTGCACCGATCTCCAGTATATTATGCTGGGCCGGTCCCTGTTGCAGCAAAATAGTGGCTATTTTTCAATGACTTTGCAAATGCTGGCTTTTTTAAATGACCAGTCCGAAAACTGGCTAGCCCGTGCTATTTTTACGGAAAACAAAACTGTTGGGCTTCGTCATTTTAAGCTTGATCCAGGCCCACGTATTTCTCCTCAAACGAGAGGTGAGTTAAGAAAGATTTATGTGAAACTATAGGTGTGTTTGGTATTGACGGAAAATATTTTTCACGAAAATACATTTCTGAAAATATACTTGGAAAACAAGTGGTTTTCTTACTTATGGGAGAGGGAGGAGTGGGTGGTGGGTTGTGTTGGGGTTTGTTTGGGAGAGAGACATTTGCCGGAGCGTTGGGGGGTGGGCGGAGAGTGCCGTGGTGGGTGTGTCGGGATGCAGGATGGTAGGTCAGGTACGGGGCCAGGTAGCGAGAGTGTGGATTAGGGGTGGGGGTTGGGGTGAGGTGAGGGTGGTAAATGTTGAAAAGTAGTTTTGAAAAACGTTTTTCCTCCTCTTAGTAGGGAAGTTATTTTCTTCCAATTGGAGAAAAGTGAGTCTATAAGAAAAATATTTTCAAAATATTTATACCAACCAAACATGAAAAAATTAAACTAAGATTTTCCAAACACACCCTATATGTCATATTGTCTGCGAAGACAAATTCAAGGTGGAACAAGAAATTGATGTTGCAATTTGAAAAAGATGGACCAAAAGAAAGGGTTGGGGAAACTTATGTTATAATTGTTAAGATAACTTCTATTATGTTGATCAGACATGCAGTTATCATTTCAAGGGAATATTCGTGTCACAAGTTGCCAGCTGGATAAATTCAAGTTGCCAGCTGGATAAATTTTCTCATGTAAAGTTTGACCGGTGATATATGGCTTATTACTAGTGGCCTTGATACTGCTCAGCTAAATTTTGATGTCCTTTGTTCTAAATTTTTGATAACAAGCTTTTTAAGCTGCTGCAAAAAAAAATAAATTCATTCCCTGTTTGTGCTCTTGACAAAATCAAGTCTTTGAAAAATATAGTGGATTATTTCAGTTGAAGGACATGGTAGATTAATGACGGAAAGTAGAGGATGGTAGGGAGAGAGAGAGAGAGTGAGGAAGAAAGAGAAAAAAAAAGATTGATAGAAAAAGAAGGCATTTCGCGCTCATTCACAGTGTAGCACACACACCCTGACATGTCAGCAATATTTGTCGAATAGATACACTTAGACTTGAGTTATGGTGTTCAATAGGAAAAAAGATTAGTCTAAATGCAAAAAAGGGCCAATATATCCGCTAAACTTTGCTAGAAATGACTGAACACTAAAATAATAGGTTGAAAACCAGCTTAATGGCTGTTAGTCATGCTTTTCTAGAAAACGCAGAGGATTTTAAGTGAATATTATACAACCTTATCTTCATTTGCAGTAGAATCAAATGGAAGCTGAAGTGGCAATTAGGTAAAAGCTAAATGTTTATTAATGCATAACGCATACAAATGTATAATATTAGTACAAACTTTGTCTTATTTTCTTAGAGCATTACCAGCTCGATCAGGTGGAGGAGCTCTAATTAGTTACTTGCTTAGGCTTCATGTATAGGAACTAATGGCATTTCGCCTCCATAAAACTCAGGTAGCTGACTTTCATCAATGTCTTCAAGTAGAGTTGTCATTAGTCGTTTGTTTTCCACAAATGTGATCTGAGAAGAAAGATAGAAATTAATTTGGTAAAGATGATTAATCTAACACAAGGTTTAACCAATAACTTAACTAGGCAATCCTTAGCTACCACTGCAAATTGACTAGACTCCAGCATTGTTTCATCAACCATTGTAGAGCCTCACCTTCTTTTTGGTCTTGTTATCAATAAAAGGACACACAATTTTCCACATTGTCCAGAATAGGTAAGGAACATGAACTAAAATTAGTTTTTCAAGTCTTTCAGGGTAGCAGTCCTGCAATTAATAGTAGTAAACTTCAAGATTATGGACTACAAGGAGAAAAAATGAAAAGGATTTCACACATATATATTCTAGCAGCGAAACGCTTTTACACTATCACTATATTTTAACATATTTTAACTTTTACTCGGAAAAGTACCTTGTTTTCCAGGTTACTGAGTCTTCTTAAGTACTATGACGGTTATCAATAGTTATCTTTTAGGTCATTTGAAAAAAGATCTTACGCTGTTCGTGTATAGAAGTTAAACTCTACAAAAGTGATTAATTAGACCTGTAAAATGGATAGAGCCCCAATGTACGCACGAGCATCGCTGTTGGCATAGCCAAAACCCTGGAGATCCGCAATTACCACAAACTTTTCCCTACTTGGTGAGGTCCTGAATCATTAAAAAAATCACAAAATAAAACAATAAAAATATCAAGGTTGAAGCTTCTTTGAAAAGGTAATTTTTCCCAACTGAGTATATAATACAAGATAGTGTACCTTGAACATAGTTTGTCCAAAGCAAAGACCACAAATCCTGGAAATCAGAACAAAGTCTTGGCTATAAATCAAGTAGCAGGCTAAGTGGAACAGAATAAAGAGAGAAAACAAAATCATACGTTTGAACTCGCCAAAACCACCTAGTTTATTATGAAAATGTCTGGCACCTAAAATGACAGCAATAGGGCGTCCTTGTTTGTCCACTCCTTGCATGAACATTTTGTTGTGTGCTATCTGGTTTGGAATCTCACTCGCTGAAATAGACCCATTTGGTGCAATGTTTTTTTTCCATTTAAGGCATTTCAACAACATTGCCGTAGCTTTGTCTACGTCCAGATCCCTAGCTCGAAGAAATCTTCTTATCTCAAAATCATCTACTTCCTGAAAACAATTGTTGTATAAAAAAAAAGTGATAAGAAAATGGACTCTAAGCCTAACTCATCAAAAAATTAGCTCATGAGGTGAGAATATCTCAAAATCACATAACGAGGCACAATCAATTTCTTTAATCAACCCACTACACTTAACACATCCCCTACGGCCAGAGCGGACATTTGGGGCATGGACATATAACATAGGGGCTTAACATTGGATAAACCAAGAACATGGATGGGTCTAACTCTTACACATGATTAGAGGGTGTTTGGCTAAGCTTATAAATTGCAAGCTGGTCAAACTTCCTTATAAGCACTTTTTGACTTATTTATGTGTTTAGTAAACACCTAAATGCTTATAAGCAAACTACATCTTTGAGTTATATTAAGGGGGTTCAAAACTTAATATATAGAGATAAAAAACAGATTTTGCTTTATATATACACTGTAATTTTTGGCGAAGGGGGTTCGGGTGAACCCCCTTCCGCCCTCCTAAATCCGCCACTGTAAGCAAGTGTTTATAAGCTAAAATCAGCAATAAGTCATAAGTTGGTCACCCCCAACTTATGTTTTTTTCAGCTTATAAGCACTTTTAGTTTGACCAATGCTTTTACTAGTTTAACTAATAATATTTTTAATTCACAAAATACTTTCCCCCAAAATAAATTTTCCAATTTTCTCTTCATTCCAAATCGTTGTTCTATCATTTTCTTTACAAAGAAACTTTTTAATTTATAATCTTTTGTGAATTTTTAAGGGTATTTTAGTTTTTTTAACAAAAGAACAACTTATCAACACTTTTTCACCAAACATATCAACTGTTTATTATCAGTTTCAGCATGTTAGTCTAAACACGTAGATGCTTATTTAAAAAATCAGTTTTAGCACTTTAAAATGTTTTCAGCACTTGAAGCTTATCAGCTACTTACAATCAGCAATTCTAAACGGGCTCTTAGAATAATGAAAATTAGGCCAAATTCAACTGCAAAAGCTAGTTCCTGGGTGTATATTTTCCAAGACCTACAACATCTCATTTCCTTTTAACTCACTAGAAGTTGTACACTTATAGTATGTTTAACCAAGCTTTTCCGAACCTAGAAGCACTTTTTTTCAAAGTTAAAGTGTTCGGCCAAGCTTTTGGAAGAAAAAAGGTGCTTTTGAGGAGAGGCAAATGCAGTTTTGAAAAAGCAGAAAACAGTAGCTTTCCCCAAAAGCACTTTTGAGAAAAATACACTTGAAACATATTTTGAAAGCTTGTACAAACACTAATTGCTAATCAGAAGTGCATTTCAAATTTATTAGCCAAATACACAGAATTTTTCACCAGTTTCTCAAAATAAGTAGATTTTAGAAACTTGATAGAACAGGCTATTAAAAACATCTCTTGCACTTGATAATTTTAACATAGAAAAATCTTGAGTTTTACAAAAAAGCGGAAGGAAAGAAACTAATATAGAGTTACTCCCTGCATTTCACTTGACTTATTATTATTTTCTTATTAGCCCTTTTTATTAGCTCGCTTCAAGATAAAATGATATATTTTTAAACTTCCTTGAAGCTTTTGCAACCTACAAATGTTATATCATATTATGATCATAAGTTTCAAAAGTATGAATATAATAACACAAATATTATGATATGTTAGAAATGATAAATTTTAAAGTCTTTTTTTTCTTTTAAACTTCGTATCAAGTAAAATTAAAAAGTACCAAACAAATTGAAATAGCGGGAGTACAATACAATTACCTTGGAAGAAGGATCCTGCTTTTCGACAAGAGCTCTCATGAGGCAAATCTTATTCTTCTCTTCTTCACTGATTTTGTCATCGCATTTTACTTGGATCTCTTGTGTTACTGATTCTTCTTCCTGCTGCAATTTTGTTTCAAAATGAATTCCATTATTGTTTAACTCCTTTGCCACTGCCTTAACCTTTCCCTCCATCACTTTCTTTCTTGCACCAATTACTAGCAGGAGAAATATACAAGGCACAGAAAAGATAACAAAATGTTTTGCTTCAATTTATGGCTAACTTAGAGGAGAAAATTAAAAAGAGGAATATAGGGAAGCTAGAAAAATTAAGACTTTGCCTTAATGAGTAAATCAAAAATGGGACCACCGTGGATGTAGTTGACAAATGAATTTATAGGGACCAAATACTATTAAAATCGTAGATGATGAGTATCTATCTATATACTTGTATTCTAGCCAGTGGTAAATGATAGGATCTCTCTATTATTTCTAATACGGAGCAGGAATCCGAATTAATCAGTTCTGGATACAATATGATGGTAAAAAAAATTATGCTAGATAAAGGTAGAATTGGAATTTAAAAGCGGTGAGTGCACCTTTTAATATACATATAAATATTTGTCAAAAAAAAATTGTGGATACGTGTTTGTTTTCATGGGTAAGTCATCAGATCAAACTTGAAATTGAGGGTATTTGAAACTCTCTTGGAAGAAAGAAGTTGCTTTTTCAACACGAGCTCTCATCCACATGTAATGTGTTAGATCAGATCTGCCGCTAATATTAATGCAATTGCAAACCATATATAAGTATATTCTGGAAAGATATATTGTACAATTATAGCGGTTGGCGCCTACTTACCTAACTCATAGTAGCTTTAACTAAGGGTGTGTTTGTGTTGGCCCAAGTAAATGTTAGTTTTGAAGACCGACAAAGGAACTCAGACATGAACCAGGTCCATTTCAAAGGAGCACAGATGTGGGTAGACTTGAGCATGTGGGATGCACGTGAAGGAGATAAACCTAACTTGACACATTTGATATCTCCTGATCCTGATCGAAAAGGTTACATAATTGATAAGGAGAAGGACTCCTTACTCAAAGAGAACACGGTTTAAGAAAGGGAAAGAGTTAGAGGTTGAGATCAACTAGAACTCTTCCACCAAGGAAAAGTAGCATCGGAATTCTAGTGAATCTCTATTTACTAACTCTATAAATATCAGTGTTGTTCTCTTTTACATGTAACGCACATAAGCAGAAGTTAAACGTGAATTGAGAGCAAAATAGCAAGTAGTTCGTGTGTGATTCAAGTGTGCAAACCTGAAGCTACGTGAACCAGTTAGAAGAACCAGTTCCAAGTGTCTGTCATTTATTCTAGTTCAATTGTAGTGGGTGGTTTCATATTGTACCTTTCAGCTTTATCTAGAGGCAATTGTAATAGGTACTCAGAGTATTCAAGTTAGAGTTAACTTGAAGTTGTCGCAACAGTTAGAGGCTGGTTGCTACAACGGGATTAGAATTAGTCCTAGGTTTACAAAAGAGTTTTTGTAAATGCAGTTTTTGGCTCAATGATTTTAGTGGAGAGTTTGGGAAAATCCTACTGGAAAGTAGGTCGTGGTTTTTTCACCTTTTGAGCCAGGTGTTTTCCACGTAAAATACTTGTGTTCTTTACTTTCCGCATTTACTATTTTTGCAATAGTAGGTTAAAGAACACTTAGAAGAACCAAGTCCTTCCATAATCAGTTTAAGCGAAAAATTGGTCACCGCACAAATCACCCCCCTCTTGTGTTGAAGTATAAAACATCATTTGGTATCAGAGCGGGTTATCCTTGAAGAGGCTAACACCTTAGGAACAGATCAAGATGAGTGCACCACCTGGAAACTGGGAAGGGCAATCCACTGCTAGGCCTCCACTCTTCAATGGCCAGTACTACTCCTTGTGGAAAAACAGGATGAGAGATCACATAATCGGAGAAGATTATGAGCTATGAGATATTGTCACTGATGGCCCTAGCTACCATGAAGAAGAATGCTGAAGGAGTAGACGTGCCAAAAACAAGAGCTGACTGCAATGCTGAGGACTTGAGAAAATGGGAAAAGAATGCTAAGACCAAGAAATGGCTTGTGTGTGGACTTGGTCCATACGAGTACAGTAGAATTCAAAGCTGTACCACTGCTAAGGAAATCTGGGACACTCTGCAAGTGGCTCACGAAGAAACTCCTCAAGTAAAGAGATCAAGAGGAACACTGCTGTATTCTTAATATGAGAATTTCACCATGAAGGAAGGAGAAACCATTCAAGAGATGTATACAAGGTTCACCACACTAACAAATGAACTTAAGTCTCTTGGAAGGGTTATTCTCGAAGAAGATAAAGCTGAGAAGATTTTGATACGGGTTTTGCCAGTCACTTGGGAAAGCAAAATCACTGCAATTCAGGAATCAAAGAATATTTCCACCCTTAAGTTGGACGAGCTAATTGGAAATCTCACTGCCTATGAACTTAGAAGGCAAACCATGCAGATGGATGCACCCAAGAAGGAAAGGAGCCTGCTCTCAGAATCACTGAAGGTGCTGATCTTGAAGAGGATGAAATGTCTATGATCACAAAGGATTTCAAGAAGTATCTAATGAGAGGAAAGAGTTCTTCAAGAGGTGCAAGATACAACAAACCAAGGGTTCCTGAAAAATAGACCAACGAGGGCTACTACAAGTGTGGTAAGACAGATCATCACATCAAAAACTGCCCTCAGTGGGAAATTGAATGGAAGAAGGAAATGGCTGAACGAAGAAACAGGAAGAAGGAACAGGTTCATCTCAAGAAAAAAAAGGATCAACAAAGGCTATGGTTGCTGCCTGGGGAGAAAGCTCAGATGAGGATTCAGAGGATGAAGATGGAGAGGAACAAGCACTTATAGCCATTGGAGAATTTGATGAGGGTCTGAGGTAAGTGTGATTCATCTCAAAGACAATATTAAGTTTTTATCTAAAAAAAGTCTATCTGAGTTACTTCTAGATTTCATTGATGAATCTGAGGTCATAAACAATGAAAAAGAACAGCTGTCTAAGGAATGTGTGATCTTGAAAGCTAAGTGTAAAAATCTGGAACTTAGGGCTAGTGAAAGTGATAGTAAAAATGCTGAGTTAAAGAACCAGGTTCTTGATCTTGACACCACTGTGCTAGAGCTTAGATCTGAAAATTTAAAACTAAAATTAGGAACAGGTAAAAAGAAAGTTGATCACACTCATCTCACTTTAGAAGAAAACCTAGGAAAAATGAAAGATGAGTTGTACAAAAGAGATGAGCAGATAAGAGTCCTAAAAGAAGATCTAAGCAAGGTTAAGCACGAGCTAGACAGAACTTGTAAATGGAATAGGTCCTCTGATGCACTTTCATGGCTACAAGAACACCATAGTAGAAATAAGAGAGGACTTGGCTACGGGACCCTTACACCTAAGTGGGATCCTAAAAGCAAGTACATCACACTTCCTGAGAACAAAATCTGCACACACCGTGGTAAGACTGGTCACTACAAAATTGAATGTACTGCAAAAGAAAAGGCTAGCCAAAAGAATAAAATATTTGTTCAAGGGAAAAATAGGCTGCCAGAATGGTCTAAAAAGAATTTAATTCACCCCTTTGCCTATAGAAAGGGACCCAAACTAGTTTGGATTCCTAAGACTAACCCCTGATTTCCTTTTGCAGGTTCAAGTGGAGGGGAGCAGTCAAATATGGTACATGGATAGTGGCTGCTCAAAGCATATGACTGGAAGCAAGAACCAGTTCCTTTCACTTGAGGACCTCAAAGAGGGTAATGTCTCCTTTGGAAATGGTAAGAAAGGTGAGATCATTGGGGTTGGAAAGGTAGGTAAGACAGACTCGCTCTCCATTGAGAATGTCTATTTGATAGATGGCTTGAAATACAACCTAATCAGTGTATAACAACTGTGTGACAGAGGTAACTTGGTAGCATTCACCTCTACCAAATGTTTTGTGATAAGTCTTACCACTGACAAGAATATTATTTTGCAGGGAAAAAGAGTAAACAATATATACATTATAGATCTGTCCACTCTTTCAGAAAATGAACTCACTTGCTTAAGTGTGTTGGACAATGATCCCTTCCTTTGGCATAAGAGACTTGGACATGCAAGTCTATGTCAACTCAACAAATTAGTCTCCAAGGACCTGGTGATAGGGCTGCCTCTAACATCATGTTTAAGGAAGACAATGTTTGTGAGACTTGTGCAAGGGGGAAGCAGGTAAGATCCTCTTTTAAATGCAAGAAAGTGGTAAGCACGACCAGATCGATGGAACTGGTTCATATGGATCTCTGCAGTCCAATGAGAACATTAACCAGAGGTGGTAAAAGATATCTGATGGTGCTTGTTGATGATTACTCTAGGTTTACTTGGACATTGTTTTTAACATCTAAAGATGAATAACTTGACATGTTTACTTCTTTTGTTAGAAAAACTCAGAAACAACTAGGTAATCAACTTGCATAAATTAGGTCTGATCATGGAACTGAATTTGAAAATGCTAAGTTTGCTGAATTTTGTGATGTGCATGGCATAGATCATAATTTTTCTGTCCCTAGGACTCCACAACAAAATGGAGTAGTTGAAAGAAAGAATAGGACACTTGAAGATATGGCTATGACTATGCTTCTTTCTAGTAAATTGCCCCACAACTTCTGGGCAGAAGTTGTAAACACTGTATGGTACATCATTAATAGGTGCATGACTAGACCTCTTGTAGAGAAGACTGCCTATGAGTTACTTAAAGGGAGAAAACCAAATATATCCCATCTTAGGGCATTTGGATGTAAGTGCTTTGTGCACAACAATGGAAAGGACTCCCTAAGTAAGTTTGATCCCAGAAGTGATGAGGGAGTATTCTTGGGATATTTTTCACATAGCAAAGCTTATAAAATGTACAGCAAAAGAACTATGTGTGTAGAAGAAAGTGTACATGTGGTTTTTGATGAAACTAATATTCTTTCTGAGAGACAGGAACATGAAGATGAAGCTATTGGGCTGGTAAAAATTTTAAATGAAATCACAGCCCAAGCTAAAGCTGCACCAGAAGAAGGAACAGGTTCTTCCATCCAGGGCAACCTGATAGGGGGAACTGAACAAAGAGGAACTGAATCTAATTCCTCAATGGAACTTGTCCATGAGCCTGTTCCTCAGCAGAAAAACATGGGAGAAACATCAAGCGGAAATCAGTAGGTTGTGAAACCTTACAAGTATCAAAGTTCTCATCCCATTGAGAACATAATTACTGATCCAACTTCTGGAATTAAAACTAGATCTTCATTAAAGAATCTTTGTGCTTTTGATGCTTTCTTATCTCTTATTGAACCTAAAAATATTTCTGAGGCTTTGCAGGATGCAGACCGGGTAAATGCAATGCAAGATGAACTCAACCAGTTTGAAAGGAGTCAAGTTTGGCATCTGGCTCCAAGAACCAAGGACAGATCAGTAATTGGCACTAAATGGGTCTTCAGAAACAAACTTGATGAAGATGGTTTTGTTACAATGAACAAGGCAAGATTGGTGGTTCAAGGTTATAGCCAAGAGGAGGGCATAGACTATGATGAGACCTTCGCTCCAGTTGCAAGGTTGGAAGCAATAAGACTCCTCATAGCCTTTGCTGCATACATGGAATTTACTCTTCACTAGATGGACGTCAAGAGTGCCTTCCTCAATGGCTACTTAAAGGAAGAAGTGTTTGTCAAGCAACCTCCAGGTTTT